TTTGAAGAATTCATGCTTATTGGATATGAAGTAACTAATGATTTACTCCGTATCTACTAACCGTTATATGCATATATGTGCATGTATGACATTTTGTGAAACTCCTGAATATGAATACACTATTGTTTATTTACTTGTATATGATTTGAATGTGAAAATTGCTTGAGCATCTTGTCAATCTCAGTTGTGGTCTCTTGATTGCAGCATCAATCTGCCCTCCTTTGCTCCCTGTCAATTACATTGAACGTAAACCATAGAACACTATGAAAATAAAACCATGAATTGTATTTGCTTTTATTTTTTAAAAATTATACCAAGGGGTGCATATAACACCTCTTTATCTTGAAAAACAGCCCCCAGAGTCTTTCAACCCCTGGAATGAACCGGAACTGTGATGTTGAGCTGAACAATTGTGACATATTTATACTGTCGTGGTGCTTTGCTAATGTATTGGTGAATGACCTCTTGAACCCAACGGTCCATAACCTCCAGTATCTTGAAGCACGCAACATTCAATTGATAGGACAACATAGTATTCATTTGATAGGACAATACAGTACAAATTAATTCTAACAACATGTTTACTTTCAAAAGATATTTAAATTTTTTGTATCAATCTAGAAAGTCTGAATTAATTGGTATGTCAGAATCCAACTTTAAGGCTTTGCAAGTGTGACACGCAACTGCATTTAGTGTAATAGAGTACTCCATACAATTCTATCCAATCGGTTAGCTGCGTTAGAACATTAATTATGCATTTATTGTGCAGTGCAAAGGTTTTAATTTAGACCCAACCTGACCCATATTTTGGCTAAATGTTTGGGCGGGAAAACTTACTTGGATTCCACCTCTTTTTTATATAGAGTTAGATGAGCTACGTCCCCAATAGGGGTCGGGACTTAAAAGAGTTTATGGTGTGAGGGTCAAAGCTTAAAGTTTCACTACAGTTTTTACTATTTAAATATTCATACAGATGTATATACATAACAATGTTTTTTCTCTTCGGGGCTGAGGCTCCCTCCACCCTCCACCCATGACCACAAAATTTTGTCTTGGCATTCAAATTGAACATTTGAAAAATGATATTTTTATCCATCAATCAAATTATTTTCATAATCTTTTGAAACGATTTTACATGGAAAAAGCTCACCCGCTCAATTCTCTAATGGTGGTTCGATCTCTCATGTGCATGATGATCTTGTTCGACCTTGAACGGATGATGAAGAAATCATTGGTCTCGAAATACGTATTTGAGTGCTATTGGAGCATTAATGTTTTGGCTAATAATACCCGACCAAATATTACTTTTGTCTGTAAATTATATTTATTAGCCAGGTACAGTTCTTCCCCAACAACATTGGAATAACGTCACACATACATTTTGCTATTTCAATGGTACAATCGATCTTGGATTGTATTTCAAGAGTGGTGCAAATACCTCATTAATTGTCTATGCCGATGCAGTATACTTGTCTAATCCTCAAAATGCAAAATCCCAAACAGTATATTTGTTCATCTATGATGATGGCACAATCTTGTTGAGATTAATTATATAATGAAGCAAACATTAACTGCAACACCATCAAATCATGCAGAATTAACTGTTCTTTATGAAGCATGTCAAGAGTGTGTTTGGTTGAGATCAATGATTCAACACATGCAAAATGAATCCGATATAAAATTTTTACTTGTGATCCAATTGCAATTTATGAACACAACACAACATGTATAACTCCAGTCAAAGAAGGTTACCTCAAATGGGATGGAACAAAACATATATCACCTAAGCATTTCTCCACACATGATCTTAAGAAGGAACGGTTGATGTCAAATAAATCAGGTCTTACGACAACCTTGCTAATTTATTCACAAAATCATTGGGCCCGAAGTAATTTGAAAAATTGCTCCACAAAACTGGAATGTGTCATTTTCGAGATATATGATGCACTGCTTTTTTTTTTCCTTTCGCTCATAATTTTCCTACTGAATTTTTCCTGACAAGGTTTTTAACGAGGCAGTACACCATAATACTATGACATCAAATGTTGTACTACTTTTTCCTAACTATGATTTGGATCACATCATGAAAACCATAATAAGGTTTTTAACGAGACAATTAATCTCTACAAACCTATAAGAGTGAATGAAGGTAAGGCTATTTTGGGTATCAAAAATTTGTTGGTGTAACATCTAAGCTGTATACGAATGTACCATACGCTTAACACGTTATACTTACTCTATTTCGTTTATCTATTAAACAAACATCTCCTCACTCCGTTAGTAATTCAACTTACTCTGCTCACGTCTTCCTTTACGTTCAAAAGCATGTGGTTCGCTACTTCCCTTACCCACCCTTACGTCTCAGCTGGATCATTGGCCGTTTGGCCCCCCAAGCGTTTCTCTCAAGGCTTTGTCTCCCTGTAAGTTATTTTTTTCCTTTGTTCTAATGGTCAATGACGATGGTGATGATGAAGATGGAAACTCGATCTTAACCTTCCGTTCATTTCAGCTCCTATGAAGCACCAATTAAGCAAACTGGAGATTATTCTTTCAACTTTACTCATTTGAACCGTACGGTTTCATCATTTGGCAGAATTTCTTTTCCAGTGCTCAAGATAATTCTCCAACTCTGTTTAATATATTGTGACAATGTATTGCCAATTAGATCTGCCTTTCACATGATCGATGAAGTATTAGGCTCAAATTCCGTTTGGTATCTCGTTATGTTTTACTTCGTATATGTTTAGTTTGATAGCTATGTGTTTGACAAAATGTCCAGAAGACTCGCTATTAAATTCACCGGTCTTTTTACACGATATAATTTTCACCTCCTATATATGATATATCCTCATATATTTGCACCTTGTGGCAGGATATTCTCCTTGGCTGAAAGCAAAAAATGTGCTCAAATTATTATTTTCAGAACTCACAAACTCAAAGATGGTTTTGATATGCAATTTAGAAAAAAATACCTCTTTTTTTTAAAAAAAAAAAACCTCTTAAATGCACAAAACGTAGAATATATTTTAAATGGATTGAGATCTGCATAGCAAGTTGTTCTCCTTCAGTGTATTTAGACTTGGTTTTGTTTACCTTAATTTTTTTGTTAAAATTGGATTACTTCATACTTCTTTTGTGTTGAATTTGTTTTGATCTTCACGACTTCACTCCATTTAAACAAGCGAAGATGATGCCTTTCTAATCCTAACATAAACCACATAAGAGACAAGCCTTTAGGATAGAGAAGCCTTTTTCCTAGCTTAAAGTTGTAAACCAATAATTCCACTGTATTTAACAATTATTTTCAAAACAGCTCGGTCTCTTTGTGCACTTTAATCATAAACCAAATTAATTCCACTCCGAACCATTTAATAAAAAAACTAATATCCTATTTTAAACGGAAAATTTGAAAATAATAATCCCAACCATTGGCGGTTCGCTTACAATAATCCTAACTATTGATTATTTTTGTATAATCCCAACTATATGGACCGTCCGCCAATAATGGTCCATGATCAGATTTAACTCCTATAAAAAAGTGAATTTTAAATAGAAATTAAGTGTAAAAATCAAAAGTTGGGATTATTTATAGGCATTATTGCTATATCTCTTCTCATCCACTTTAGAAACTACAAAAATTTATTTTTAGGGGCCATTATTGGCGGAAGGTCCCTAAAGTTGGGATTATTCTGAAATAATCAATAATTGAGATTATTATAAACGGACCACCGATAGTTGGGATTATTCATATCAATTTTTCCATTTTAAAATAAAAGAAACATCATTCATTTTCATCGGTGACTCCGTCAAATGAAGCTTCAATTCCATGGTCATGTCTAATTTTGCATCAGGAGAATAGTGTTTTTTGGTGGAAAAGGAAAACCTCTAGGGATGGTTTGAAGCCGTAAATGAATAGAACATGTTTAAGTTAAGTAGGTTGTATGTCTACATCAGGTGTAAATGTGTAATGTTTGGTGTCTTAGTTTTTTTGTTCATAACAGCTCATCTTCTTAAAATATTAGTGCTATCACTAAGATAATACTCGTACATAGTACGAAGTATAACAGTAACATTATACTACGTAGAGAATAATTAGCACTAATAGTTAAGCTCTGCTTGTAGCCTTCCACAGTTTATTATTTATGAAGGATGCATGAAATAATTATCAAAATTGTGGCTGGTTTTGCTAACAATTGGCATAAGTAGTACTCCGTATGTAATTACTTAGTTTGAGTGTTAGAAAAACAAAACATCAGTGTCATCCATATAATAATTCGATTTCAATTGGTTCTAGTAAGTAGCATCCAAATTTAAGTAATGAAAAACTACTATAAAGTACGGAGTACAAATTTTCACAAAACTTGAAGCAAGCTCAAAAACTATGATAGTTGTTTTTTGTCTATAAATAATTATGCTGGGAGCCATCTAATGATCGACTATTTCTTAACAAGTTAGAACTTGCATCTTATTGATACCGATACTAACTTTTCTTGTGATTTCCTCCATGGAGTGAACTTATAATAATCTAAATATGAATGACAAAATGTGTACAGAGAGTTTAATCTGTAAGTTTTTGTTTTATGTAAGACAACTTAGAAGTATTTGGAAATGAAAACCACTAACATGAAACCTATGGGGACGGGGCTATCTTTATATTTGTAGGGAAAAGGAAAATCTTTTGCTAATAACACCTATTGGCCAGAAGAAGAACTCCTTGGAAAGCATTTGTAATAAGCTAAGTAATTAAATGTGTGCCTCAAGGCATTACAATAAAAAGTCAAAGGTTGCATGTTTTCATGCCAATAAGATTCAATTCAATAGATAATAACTACTAGACATATTTTGGAAGTGTTTATTTTTTAAACAACATTGGGCATCTACACTATCGCGCAACGCGCGTATGAAAAATAGTACCTCTAATAATTAGAAAATGACCTTCAAGGGGAGTGTTAAATGTTAATAGATGCAAAACTGCAAATTGACTCTCGGACTCAATTGGACTCGTGGTCTCGTGGATCATTCATTTCAAATTGGCACATAACAACCCGGCTAGCAGCTACAAACATGGCCGCGGTAAATAGGTGCAAAACTGCAAATAGAGTCAATAGACCACACTGACAGACATAACTCAATAAGTAGTCGCCACCAAACTGCCACACACGTCGGGGTACTCCGATCGGCGGGGTATTATGTGGGTAGAGCTGATTTGCGGCATAGCCGTTTTCCGATTACTGAAAAGATACTTTAGCGGAGACGACGTTATCGATGCCGAAACCTGTCACGCCAACGCTCTTTTTTCCGTCGCCCGGCAGTAATTTCTCTACTGTAACAGGCCAAATTGTGAATTTATCATCCTCTCGCACTCTAGCAGGTAGAATTTGTTAGTTTTTTCAGACGTAGTATTATTTATTTGCTGTTGTTGGGCGTAGGCTGGAGAGGCTCTACTGCGGCAAGGTCTTCGTTGGGCTTCAAATTCCGGATGCTGATTCTGGTTCTCGCCGGAGTATTGATCTTGTGCTCGTTACTCAACGGTGCCTTTTCGTTTCCCCCAAATTAACTTTTCTCATACTCCGTATTAGTCTGTCAAGGGCATGATGTATTGATGTCATCGCGCAATAACATCAGAAGTAAAAACACCTGATAGCATGTGATATTTTCAGAATGGAGGTTTGGGAGGTCTTTTAACACAGGCTGAATGTTTAATACGAACATGAGTAAGCTGATCCCATGAATAACAGTAAGAATAATAACGAATAGTTTTTTTTTTTGGAAAATCAAATAACAAATTTATTCATATCAAATAATAGCAAAGAAACACGTAAATGAATAGCCTAAGGCTACATTGGCATGAGACTATGAATGAAAAAGATCCCATGAATCCTTCCAAACCGCTAACCCCGCAATAATGTAGTCTAGTCTAACCGCCTTGCTTCACTTGCTACTCCAAATAAAAAAAATTACAAATAAAAATCCGGCTTCACCAATCACCGGAATCACCGGAAAGGGAAAATCGGTTTGACCAGCAACCAACAAAGGAAACTCTATCGAGCCAAAATTCTCTGAATCATCAGTTTGATCAGCGGTGGTTTAGGTGGAGAGTGAATAACTGAAGCCTCAAAACAACAAAAGTGAAAAGTTTTGCCAACCATGAACAACGAAACTAACCATATTGATTATTCCAATGAGAATTCCACATATCGTTAGGAGAAAAACATACCACACACTCACATATAGCAGACAAAACTCTCCACCAAAGAAGTCGCCGGACCAAATCATCCAAAGTATAAATTAAACAAGACTGGAAGCATAGAAGAGAACATCATCATCTTCCAGAACTCTTGATGTTTGAAAAAGAGAATACTTGAAAATCAGATCTCGCAGGAAATGGGAGATGGCTCCCTAAGGGTTCCCCTAGGGCCGGCCATTTGAGCGGGGTTGTTATAGACCAATTCAAGTCTTATAAACTAATTTTACAATAACGAATAGCTGAACATGCACATATAATTTACAGTAATATTTAAGGAATACTCGATATATATTACTACCTCCATCCCACTAACATTTGAGACATGGAGAGGTGGTGCAGCTATTAAGAAAAGTAGGTGTATGTGGTTTATATTGAATTGATAAAGTAAGAATAAAGTAAAAATGATATTGAACCACACAAATTTTACCATATTTGAATCACACAAACTTTACACAATTTGGTATGATATAATCTTAGTGTAACGGATCAAAAGGGAAAAGATGGGACAATCTTAGCAAGACGAAAGAAGTAACACTTAAAAACTCGAATGCTTACCGAATAACTAATCTTACTAATTAATGAAGTTTTTATTATTATGATTATTGAAGATAACCATTGATATATGTATGTATGTGTATGCAATATATTATAATAATCTATTAATCCTGAAATCACTAGGAAAACATATTTTTTGATCTACTGACGAAAGCATAACCTCAAACATAATAATAATAGTAGTAACAAAAATTGCCCAAAGTATGAGTAAAACCAATGCACAATTTCAATATAGAAAGACTACGGGGTATGTTTTCTCCCAAAACAGGAGTACTACGTTTGTTTTTCAAAATATGAGCAATACGTGCCATGTTTGGAAAATACTGCCAAACATGACATTAATATTGTCATATGAATGCCTAGTATTGCCAAAATAGGGCGATATTGTTTCATATGGCACTAATATAGTCATATTTAGGGAAAATAATGCTTCTATTTTTTAATTTACATTGTTTTTACTCCTATTTTGGGAAGTTTCCCTAACTGCAAGTCAGTAACAACAACAATAATAAATATAATCACATGAACAATAACAATCATACTCCCACTGTCCCATTTTTTTTTAGTTTGACTTTGGCACACTTTTTTAAAAAGTGAAATTGTTTGGTTGTGATTGATGAAAAAGAAAAAAATAATATCAACCACAAAAAACTCGAGTCATCATTAAAGAAAAGTGAGAAAAAAACCAGTGGGTCAGAGGGAGTAATGATAATAACAATGAAAAAAAGATATGCGGAAGTTTCATCCGAAAATAGCATCAACAGCAACTACAAGTGTTGCATCCCAGATGAGGTGAAATGTGAACGAAAGTGAGACCTTTTTGTTCTTCAAGATGCCTTGAAAGGAGGGGAGGAAATGTTTGTATTATTTTTTGTAGAAGGTGAGGAGGATTTTGTATTGGTGCTATATTATAGTGTGTATTTTTCGATAACATCCAAAAAAAAAATGAAAAAAAAATAGTATAATAGTATTCCATATCTCTATGAGTTTTGGTATAGAAACATTGTATGCCATTTACTTCTTTGCTTTTCTAACATTTCATTCATTTCCTTTCTGTTTAACTAATGCATTCAGGATTTCAGGGAAGTAGCAGTAATCTCTGTGAAGAATGTCTCAGGTGTTGTGAATATCGACAAGGATGGTAGTTGGGTTTGCACTGATGGACTAACACATAAGAGAGAGCATTATCCAGATCCTGTAAGTTGCAAATCATGTAGTGTTACCCATGTTTGCACTTGTGTCATGTAAAGTGTTTTAAATTCATTTATCTCATGCTTGTCTATTTCAGGTAGCAGAGACAAAACAACTAATTCCTATTTTGGAGTCATACCTTGAGAAAAGGGGAGTCTTTTTTCCAGAGGGATATTTGTCATGGAAAGTCATATGTCCAAATCCCAATTTTCGGTATGCATTCAGCTGTTTTGAATATTTGTTTACTTAATAAAAGTTATCTATGGTTCATGACTTGATTCATCATTGTGAATGTGGCTAAGTACTTCTTGACTTGTAGTTGGAAGACAAAGCACTTAAATTTGTTGTGCAAGTCCTTTCAAATTTATGTAAGCCAAGTGGTTAAAAGATAAATTTGAAGCATTGTCACTTTCGAAAGTCAGTGTTTAAAAGCTAAACTTTTTAGTCATTCCTAACCTTCCAAACCAGGCTATATGGGGCTAGAATTGCTAGCAGCTGGAATGTTCATACTTTTAGAATCACCCGTAAAACATGGTTTCTTTATCTCTTTGCTGTGGTGATGGATCATCTATTGCATTGCATACATTGTGAAAATCCTGTAAAGTACATATTATGGTAGAAGGTCCTTGTGCTATTATTGTACAACTATACTAACTAGTTGGTATCTTTTGGTAATTTTAACTCCATACAGTTCAAGATTTACATTCACTTTGTCTTTCATGGAGAATAAGCTGGCAGATTGTCTTCTATTTGCAGAACTGTTCATCCAGACTCATTTCCATCTGAGGTGATTACATATGACCAATTGGTACAGCCAAAGCCAGATGATAGAAGTTTGCTTTCCAGGTGGATTAAATGTGTGTTTCCTTTTGGGAAGAAAGAAATGCTGGAAGCAATGCTAGAGAAGCTTAATGGTATTCTCTGTACAGCTCCAATGTGGGATCGGTCAGTTGTGACTTCTATGCTGCTTGCAATTGGCACACTTGTGTAATTGTGGTTTCCTTTGTTTCTCTTATTGTTCATCTTTTTTTGGGTACATGCAGACTAGAGCTTAAGAACAATAAATGCCTCCTAGGTGAGTTTCTGGAATTCAAAGGGAAGAGGGATGATATTTTGGCATTACGAAATGTAAAGAGATCAAAAGTTAGTCGGTTGACTATCCAAAATACAAGCACATATGGGTTAGGTATTGTATTCAACTTTGGATATACACATGCTTTCTTAGCTAATGAGTTCCCCTCTGAAGTTTATACTACATATATGTTATACTAACTCCCTTTTATCTATTGTAAAAAAAAAAACAACCTTTTATCTCAATTAATTGTCTATTCAATAAGGTATTTCGCTCACAAAAAGTGTCAATTTAGCAAACTAATAAATTAAAATAATACTTGCTTCTCCCCAAAAGTATGATGATTTGGTCCAGAGTTTTGTTATCCATGAAAAAAAATACTTCTCACCATACGTAACACATTTTTTCCTTAACATCTTGAAAATAGAGAGTAGTGTTAAAGAGTATTATAGCACCTGTAGATGGTTGCTATGCTTTGGAGAGTACTATGTTACTTTGACTTTTGTCTCTTTTAGTAAACTTGATAACTAAGAGGCCTAATACCTGCTGCCTCATATGCAGCTCCTTCAAAGATTCAAATTTTGTACTCACCCCGAGATAATCATGGTGAAGGGACCTCAGCTTCTGAGTGGAAGAGAGTTTGCGTTCTATCTAGCACAGAGGTTCTATTTCAATGTCAAGGTTGTAGTGAAGTAAAAAATTATAGGTTATCTTCAGTTATTTACATGTCCCTCAGCGTGTGAGGCATCTTCTTTCTATACACACATGATACATGAAAAGGGTACTCAGTCAGTTTTATATCCTTATGTACATTTGATCTGACTTACATGCGAACTCATGTTAGTCGACCCCAAACTCTTTTGGGACTAAGAGGCTTGTATGTTGTTGTTGCTGTATATACGTTTGATCTGACTTCCAGACGGCTTTCTGTCTCTATATTAGTTTTTGTGTGTCATACTGTGAAAGTGCTATTGCATCATGTAATGATTTGAAATTTTGAATGAGTTAAATAATATGGAACAAATCAAGCAAAAGCCAGGTAATCACCTTCCGGGCACAGTATTCTTAAACTGGATATATCAACACAGTGATAGCCACCAAATAAGATTCAAAATTACATATACAGTTATGGGAAGTGTGGTGAAATACATTGCAAGGGATACCCAAGTTTCATCAAATGATGTTTCCATTTCCTTTTTTTTTTGTTGTAAAAAAGAAGAAATAATAATCCTGTATGTGATGAAATTTGGCTGTGTCAATATATAACTGTGTATGAGAGTTTCTAGGTTTCTTTATCATGAAAGATTCTCATCACTTGTCATTTGCTGTGTTTGGTGGATCAAACCGTAGAACTTTCATGCCGGTTTATTTAGCCTTTATGTCCTTTTCCCCTTATACATGCATTTGTAGTGTTTCACTCTCAAAGCCTAACATGAGCTTGCTTAGTTTCTGGTTGCTTATGCTTTGCTGATATACTATATCATCCTCACTTTCCATGCTGTAAAGAATATAGAAAAACAGCATCAGGAATAAATAGCCGCAATTTGGCATATTACACAGCACTAAAGTTTGAAATGTAAAGAGGTGAAGTTAAGTAAATTATAATTTCAAATAGGGGATTTGACCATTTCTCTATATTCAAAACATAAACGTACATATGAATAGCACTAACCTTTGAATAGAGTCCGGAGATAGATGATGTTGTGTAGGGTCTATTGATAAAAACATTTTGGCAAGCTTAGTAGTGCCTTGGCTGCTATTTATAACATGATTGAAGCATAGGTATCTTCCGTAAGATGAGACGTCCTCAAAGACACAAATGTGAGCATCAACCAAGAACCCTAAATCTACTGCTACCAAAAAGCCCCCTTCGTACATCTCTGCTGCCCCTTTCAGGTATGGATCTTTCATGCTCAAACCTGGCCTGATCAATAAACCTCCATTAATTGACACCATGTTTACCTCTCTGTCCATTGCCAACGCCCAAGCTGCCTTTTCTGCCACTGTCTTTGACAGGCTGTGCCACAACTGCACATAATTTTGATCTAATGTAACTACAGTTTAATGATGTCTACAATTTACACAATGTTTTGGGGGTTCTCTGTAAGAGGCTAGCAATAAGAATCAAAATTACATCTTTATTGTTTATATTGTTTAGGTAATGTTAGAAATGTGAGGAAAATAAATTTTTATTTGTTTAAGTTATTAGTGTAAAATAAGTAAGGAAAGTAACTATTTTTTATTTATTTAAATTGTTGATTTTGGAGGGACATAATATTATAATGTCATAATGTTATACATTTGCTAAAAAATAGATCTCAAAATTTATAATAGGAAAAATCCAAGTATTATGATGATTGCACATTGGAGAGATACAGGAGGATGTAAACAATGCTCATTTTTACTTCTTAAACATGGCAAAGTAACTTTCTCCATATTTTCTACATTTCTTCTCATTTGACACTAATAGAGGTAGAGATGTCTATTATTGGTACCTTAAAGTTCTTGCAGAAGCTGATGTCGCTCCAGTTCCTTTCGTCAAGAGGGTGGACGGAATCCTGGGCCCATACCACTGCTGTGGCTGAGGATGTGAAAACTATTTTGTCTATGGTGGTTGTGTGTGCACAAGCTTCCACCACGTTGTGTGCCGCTCTCACCTCAATTTCTCCCATGAATTCCTGCAGCAGATCATCTTCTTCATCAACCAAACAGTCAAACCTATTACTTTCCAAACACTACCTTATTTGACTTTCCACCGAACAGTCAAACACCATGTTATGAACGGTACTGCCTGCTTCATGCTACTACTAGACTACTAGTATTACTTGTTTGTTTTATTACTTTAATCATGCTCCTGAGATCTAATCAGTAATCATGAATCTCAATCTATGTCGTATAGTAAAAAAAGGCTCTAAAGCGAAACAAGAATAATTTGTGTAGCTTTATAAAAGAAGGAAAAAAAGGTTCAGTTAAGCTCTGGGCAATCATGCATCAGATGTAGAAGATAAAGAGGGGAAAGAAAGGGGAAGCTTACATTGTAAGTAGCATAATCAGATGGTGGCTCAAAAGAGTAAAATAAACCATAACATCCCTTCATTGCCTTCAATATGCTGTGGTAATCCAAGAGGTCAGTTTGGAAAACTTTCAATTTGCTGTTGCTGATTTCTGCAGCATATTCCCTCTTCCAGGATTCTATCAAATCATCATCTGCCATAGTGTGTTGTGAAGCTTAGTTTAGAGTGATTTTTGTAGAAATAGGCTGAACTAACTACAATCGTAACTTATATTTGAACTATTGAAAAAAGATTTGTTTGATTAGACATAAGAAAACAAAATGTTTGAAATTGAACAGCTTCAATAAAAACACCTTCTATTGTTTTTTGTTAATTCAAAAGTCATACTGGAGTATAAGTTAGTGTGGCAAAAAGAAACCTTGTGGGTAAAACATGTAATAAAAACACCCAATCAAGAAACAGAGAAGAAAGCTAACCATGGGTCTGCATAGCAGCATGAACCGCGTAGCCTCGGAGCAGAAGGCACCTCACCAGAGTGGAGCCCACACACCCTGCAGCATCCATCACACAAACACTACCATCCCCTTTCATATCCATGGCTGATGATGAGATTGAGCAGCAAGGCCAGAACCCAAATCAACGGCTGAGAATTCACGAGGGGGTATGTTATGAGCAGTAAGGCAAATTATATAGTGTTGTTGTTATTGCAGTGAGGGTGGTGTGTTGATGTATTTTCTGAAGGGGGTTCATTTAAAGAGCGTGTGGGTAGTAGTATATGGTTGGTTGGGCAGCAGGTGGTAGTTAGCCACAAGGAAGGGACTTTAATGCCATTTCGTAACTGTCTAACTCTTTCCCCATCATGTGTAACCATTTGCCTACTCTCTAGATTGGTATCCACACATAAAAAAAAAGCTTCACATCAGAAAACCAAATGCCCCGGTCCTTACCCGCAGAATTCGACGAAAGAGTTAAATTACGAGACGTTATTCGTTATGCTCCTGTAGTGTTGTCACACATACTAAATCCCGTTACGTTATAGTTCGTATGTTGCGGCTTGAAGCACGAGGGTCGGAGTATCACACATTTCACACTATCAAATACTCGTCAAGAAACCCGAGTGACGATTTATGTGTCTAACGAGGTTTGAACTCAGGTTGCTCGGGAGTTGAGAAGATGAGGACAAGTACAACTACCAGACCAATTTAACCAAAACCATTTGGCTGTATGTAGAGATAGATAGGTAAGCGCATACATATTGTTTTACGTGTGAATCCGTTTTAATAATTACTTTGTAAAGTTTGCTGTCGTTCATAAATAATCAATGATATGAAGGACTTTGGCCTCCACATATTTAAGGAGGAAGTCAACAGGAAAAGTCTACAAAAAAACAAGGAAAAAGTAACAGTCCTAAATTAATGCAATTTTATTATAGGACATGTACAAGGAGAGTTTGTTAGGAAGCATTTTATTTAGAAACATTATTTTTGTTGTGAAAGACTTTTAGTGCTCCTAGTATTTAGGAATTGAGAAACACAAAAAGGTTGTTAAGAATTAACATAGCCTCCCCCTCTGCCGTCCTGCGGTTAAATGCCGCCTTTTTTTGGGTGACGCGTTTGGCCTTAAATAATTTGTTGCGACGGCTGGACAAATTGGAATTGGCACTTAGAAGCAAATCTGCCAGTCTAATTGTTTAACAATTAATGCAGTATAATAATTCGTCTTCATTTATTATAGTGCCTGGTTGACTTTGTTTTTTTAATTGTTTCTTACTTGCATTCTAATCTAGGTGGACGACTAGATCGTAAATACATTAATAAGTCAAAACAGCAACCCTTTGTTTGGTTCAAGGATCTTAGAGGATGTGAGGCGGAGTGATGATATACATTGTAACCATTGTTTAAACTATTTCTGTTAAGAAGATTGGAAATTTAAGTGAAGATGAATCAGATGAAGGAACATGGTCTAGGTAATCATATACGGAGTATAAGAAACATGGCCGATCCTATATAAATTTAGGCTTGAAACGAGCTATCTAAAAGATCTCCGCAGTATTTTTATTGTATATTTTTTTTTGAACAATATTGTATATTTTGTATTGTATATTTTTTATTATGTGTTTTTGTTGTAATATAAACTCTTATATGAAATGATAACATCACAAAAGTAACCAATTATTGGATAGTATCTCAATTTTTGAAAAATAAGTAATACATGTTTCATCAATTTAATGAAAATATCCAAAGGTGTTTTCAATTATATTATAAATATATACTATCCTCCGTTATTTAATTCTTGCAACAGTTTGAGTTTTACGTTTATCAATGCACAACTTGAACTGTAATTATATTTAATTATGTATTAGTAAACATTATAAAAAGTTGACATTTTGGAAATTCACATTGATAGGAATTTAATAACATTTTATACGTAATAATTTGATTATGTATATTAGTAGAAAATCATGGTCAAAGTAAGGTCTGTGAATAGTGCTGAAATCATATAATATATTGATGGATAATCGATAACCATATTGTATAATTTAGAGAGATTGAGAAAAGAAAATGGAGAAGGAGATATATGTTGTATAATAGATGATATGTGACTTGGGTTTACAAGCCCCAAAAGGAGTATATATAGAGAAATTCGGGTTTGGGCCTCTAATATGGGCCTGACAGACCCGGTTACATAGAAAGACTGATAACATAAAAGGTTAATCTAGTACATACAATGAATATGTAAATTGTACAATAATATAATTGCCGTCTGCTAGGTGTACGTGAGCCTTTGTCTAGGCCCAATAATTGGCAGACCGGGGGTCGCAGCCCATATACTCCATCATATATAATTACTAACCTAAAGTTTGGGCCTCCTTAAAAAAATAGGGCTCTGAGACATGTGCCTCAATGGCCTCCATTATAGGCACGACCCTGATAAAAAATAATTCAAAATATATATATATCCAAAATGTGAATGCAGTGACTTTAGTGGGATGACTATAATTGTATTCAAATGCTACATCGTAGTGACTACTCCCCCGTTCCAATTTGATTGTCTCATTTCTTTTGGGAACAAATTTTAATAAAGTGGTTGAAAAAGGTAAAAGTTGTGGTTGAGATTTGAGTAGAAAAAGGTGAAATGATGATGATCACATCTTTTTTTCCAAAAAGTGAAACATGACCATCATTTTGGGACATCCCAAAAAGGAAATACGAGACCCTCATTTTGGGACAGTATAACTTAGTTATAATAATTTATAGTCACATTTTTTCATAAATTTTTTATTAGTAATATTTTAGGAAAATCCCATCATAAAATTACTTCTAGAAAACAAGTACAATTAAAAAAGAGAGACAATTTAGATAAATTAAAATCAGTTCATCTCTTACCTTCCCTCTGAAATTCCATAACCAAACAAACCTCTTATGGTTTTGTGTGGGATGTGAGGGAAAGTGAGAAGACAGAAGGAATTGGGAGCGAAGATAAAATAAATACACTCACTTTTAAGTGATTTAATTCAATAGTGTGAAAATGGAGCCATTGTGAATTTGTGATCACTGATCAAGAAGAGGACATAGACTTGGATACTTATCCTAGTTCAAAAAATTTGACATTTAACAAAGAGCAGTGATAATTTCTTTCCCGATCTCCTAAATAAGTACGTGAAAATCTGGTGATATGTTACGTTTATTACGACATAAATTGATAAATATATTTACATTATTTTGTACATATATTTAGTCATGTACGTATGTATGTTCATCATTGTAGTCATGTACGTATGTTCATCATTGTGTATAGTCCGTAGGATTAGCACCAGCAGTCCGTTAGTTTAGCTCCTACTGGTAGTCATCTTTATCTCTTCATTTATGCACGTATAGTTAGTCATCCTTATCACTTCACTTCTGTGTAACTTTGTAGGTGTATAAAATGTACTCCTCTGGATTAATATCAAGTGTGAATCATTATTCCCTTTCAACGTTATCTAATACTATCTTAGCAATTAATTAATACTATGGTAATAACGTATGAGTATATAGTAATAATGAGATATAGTAATAATGAGGATGTTTTTACTTGATCAGATTTTTTTTTGTCTGGTCTGTCTCAACTGGACCGATTAGTAAATGTCTGGTCTGGTCTAGTCAGGTTTGAACTATCTGATTTGATCTAGTCTAGTTTGATCTGATATATTGCCTAATTTGGGAGTAAAAATAGTCCCAAGTGAAGTATCAACAAAAACGTGAGTCGCTAGCTAGTACAAATTTACAACATAAAAATAATCTCATGTTGTTGGTTTGATAGTTTTCAATTTTAAAAATGATTATGAATGAATTAAAGTTTAAATTTATGTCATCAGAAAGAAAGTTTATACAATCATATTTAGTCAACCAAATTGTGAAATTGTTATGTATGATGAAATCTTGAGCAACACACTATTTATATTATTTATGAGTAGTTATTTGATACTTTATTAAAAATGAAATTTATTAAGCACCCGAGTACGTGTTAGTAAAAACTATATATGGAAGTCTTTAGCATTATTATTGGTTTTTCTCTAAATAAAATACTAATTAAATATAATATTTAAATCGCGTATGTAATAAATTCCCTCTATAAAGAAGTATTATTTACACTTAATGATACTGATTGTCAAATCACCACCATAAAAAAACATTTAAAAACTAAAGAATGTTAAATAGTAATATTAATTATTAAACTTCTTCCACGAGATGGAAGAGATGGTGAACAAATGCATCTACATGGGACTCGGAGGGATGAGGAAGAATTGGTCGTGCACGAGGAGATTGATGGCGAGGAGGAATCTTCAAATCGTAGCATAACTTTTTCGGTTGTTGGCGCTGTTCTGACAGAATGGTGAAGTTTCTTGTATTTAGGGATCTTATGGCTTCCATTTGACGCCCGGGAAAAAGAATATCTATTAAAGAAATTGGCGAGAAGAGGTATTTGTTTACTTTTTACCGTATTGTTGACATGGAACGTGTCCTAGGTGGTGGCGCATGGCTGTATGAACAAAACTTGTTGATGCTAAGGGCGCTGAAATCGGGGGATGTTTCTCTTAGGGTTCCCCTAAACGAGGCTAAATTTTGGGTGTAGGTATATAATGTGCCTTATGATTATATGAATTTAGGGGTGGCTAGAAGAGTGGGTAATTTCATTGGTAAATTTATCAGTTTTGATGAAAGTCAATTTGAAGAACGTTGGAATTCTTATATGAGGATTACAGTTTGCATAGGCAAAGCTGTGAAAGTGGGTACGACATTGAGGAAAGGGCGGGGTACATGCCATAGGGTGGATTTCAAATATGAACAACTACCTAGTTTTTGCTTTGCTTTTGGTATTATTGTTATTATATATGTCCTACCGACAATCACTTTTTAGAGATGTATGTACTTGATCACATTCAGTTTTATATATTTGATGTATACGATATTACACATTAATGATTAAGCATTTAGATTGTCAACGTCTTATTCATAATTGTGTTCCCCTTAACTTATGTTATCAATAAGTAAGTGAGAGCTTATATGATATAACATAAGGTTCTAAGATAGCCCCAATCAATGATTATCAAGAAATGGATATTGATGATATACGATAAGATTGGTGTGTGGACTGCATCATACTTTTAGAAAGGATAGTTGATCTCACAACAATGAGTTCCTATAATTCATGATGGTCACATAGATATTTTAGAGAATATCGACATACCCACCGAGAAACCATTTGATAAGTTCTATTCATGTGTCTATGAGATTACCGATTTATCGGCATATAAAGTATTGTCATAGTCCTCCGACTTGAGGTAAATACGTACTACATGTGCGAAGTGATGAACTTTGACCATGACCAACGCTTGCACTCCAATCAGGGTAGATACAACATGTGTTGAGTGCATCACGAAACACATAGAGTAGTAGTTGAGCCAATAAAGGATTCATTCCTCGTAATAGATTAAGAGAGAACATTCTACTTCTAGATTGATCAAAAAAGACATAAAGTCATTGGCCAATGCAAAGATATATTCGTTTTGGATATCGAATATGATCGTTATGGATCATCTTAAAAAATTGAGAGACAAAGACTAAGTTATTAGAATAGACACAATATCATGTTCTAGACATAGTTGAATGTTCGTTGAATGAAAAGATCGTATAACTATGAGCTCTATATTACAGGGAGTTTGAATAGTCCTCGCAAACGTCCTTATATATTAAGTTTGTCTGGAGAATCGTCTAGGGATTCGCAAAGAACTTAATTTGATTAGTGCTTAATATATAAGGCCTTATGGGTCACACAATAAGTGAATGTACCTCCTAATTGAATTGTAAGAATGAATTAAATATTAATTGGATTAAATGATATTTAATTCGTAATACTGAAAATGGAATAAATATTAATTAGATTAAACATATTTAATTCATAAAGTTGAAGGAGAGTTCTATTTGTTAGAATTAATTAAGTAAAATAAATTAGATTTATTATACTTAATTAAAATGTATTTACAAATAATTAAAATTGATATTTTCTTTTAATACATTTTGGAATTAGATTAAAAGAAGAAATCAAAATAATAATAAATAATATAATAATAATAATATATAGGAGTAAAGGTAGGGTAGTGGCTAAAGCCACTCCCTAGCCTTTCTCTTTTTTTTTTTTTATTTTATTATTATTATTATTTATTATTTATATTAATTAATATTTAATTAATAAATGAAATAAAATAAATAATATAATAAGGGTGTAAAGTGGCGTGCAAAATAATAAATAATATTATTCCCCCTTATTGTTAGTTAGTTTGTATTATTTATTTATTTGATTAAATAAATGAGATTGGTTCTAATTGGATTAGAACTCATTAATGAAGAACACTTTTATTGTGAGTGGGAAACTAGTTTAAAACTAGTATAAATACATCCTCCTCCTTCATAAGTAGTGACTAGTTTTCTAGATTCAGTATTACTAGTTTATTTCCCTGCAAAGAGATTTCATAACCTTTCTCTTTGTGAGATACAACTGTTCTTTCAGAAAGGAGAAATCACGTGGATACCTAAGGTCAATGAATGTCACGCTAGGCTGGAAGATCTATAAGTTCTAACTCAGATCTGTTATTATTGTTATATTCGTTGTTTTTGTCACAATCAGAACATATCTGTTTGAGAAAATTTTAAATTCCCACTGTTGTACTTTCGATGTACATTACATCAATTTCCTGATAATTATTGGTCATGTTTACAAGTTTTGTCCCTTGGCTTATGATTGCAAGAGCAAAATGTTGGCTAAGCCTTTCGGGTTAATCTCCGTGCTTGGGAAGGGGGGGAGGGGGGAGCTCGACTGACAAGGGTCAACAAATGGCTAGTTAGAGAATGTGCTCCAAGCGGAAGCGGGTCGATCCAATAGGGTAAACACCAGAGCATCACAAGCGGCAGAGAGGGGGTAGCTGGGCCAGAGGGGCAGAGTGGGGTGATCTCCGTGGTGGAGGCTAGTACGATGGGAGGGAAGAAACATATATGGAAGGCATTCCAGGAGAGCAGAAGCACAGAAGAATGTGAGGAAAAGCCGCATGTGGATGGCGAAGGGGACAATATGGCGGTGGACCTTTCAAAAAATGAAGCGGGGGCGGGTCTAGGACTCTAGTCCCGCCGAGAGCCTTGAGAATGTCCCAGGATTTGGGAGACCGGAGGTTTTTTATTAGCTGTGTGAGGGTGCAGCTGAATTCCCACTACTTTATGTTCGTTTTCTGTTTTTGTTTTGATCAAACTGTCGTTGTTATTTTTTGCTATTTTTTCTTCAGTTTGATTCTTGCATTAGGTTGGGGTGATGAGAGGTTTACTCTAACCACGTTAGGCTCATTTAAATGCATTACAGGATCAACGAGCCATATGGCCATATTGCTTTTTCAGGGTGATTGGCTCTAAGTTTCGTTCGAGGGTCGGTGGTTGGAAGTGGTCCTTTTATCTTCTTCTTCTTGTTTCCTTTCTGAATGTTTCGATATCAATTTAAGCCGCCTTGTTCCAAAAAAAACTTCTTCCGCCCCACAAATTTTTCCAATTTTTCTTTATTTAGTTGTCCCCCCAAAAATTCAATCCATTTAATGTATTTGTATTAAATCTGTATCTAGTGTATGTCCTTTAATTAACATATACATATTTTAAATATTTCTAACCCAATTTTATATTTATATTTAATTTGTATATAAAAATATAAAACCATTTATATATTTAGAGCAATTTACATCGGGTCAACAATGCTTTATAGGAGGCCGTTTGGAAGACCCAAAATGGGCTCATGAGCCCGAAAATAGAAAAAACTCACCAAACACCTATCAAACAAGTTGATTTGGCTGAAAATTATTACGAAGTATTAGCTCAAAAACAACCCCAAGGCTACTTTATAAGCTGAAATTTATTATTTCATTGTGTTGGCTATTGTAAAGACCACTTTGCCATTCCATTACATCCGGAATATAACTTCCCCTGCTCAAGATTGAAGTCGACGACTTATTCATCTGCTCGTTGCCTTATACGGAGTAGTTTCTTATCCAAATCGAAGACTTTGCTCGGCTGTTCCATATTCACAAAGATAATAAGCTGCGATCTATCTTCTTCTTTATTCTTTAGAATAGGTCTCTCTGCACAAGGTCAGCACAACTACTAACCTATTGCTCACAATTAAACAAGTGCATTGGAATAACCTATTACGTGTATGTTATTGCAATAAGCCACATAACAAGTTTCAGACTTTGAGAGTTGCTTTTCATAGTTGTTCGATTGTTTTTGTTTTTGTTCTCATCTGCCAAAACAAAGGAAAATAAGGTAAAATACAATTTTAACAAAACTACATAATATTGAGTCCACCGAACAACTTTTAGAATTTTCTTCCATGCTTCATTTTGTTTAAACATTTTTTTAATGTGATAATTTCAAACAAATGGCTGATTACTAGTACAAATGATTTATTCCACATGTCACTATTTAATACTACGTATGTGAATAATATTCTTCTCTTACAATACGTGGCATGTGCAAACTATGTATAGATTATTATTTAAATATTATATAAAAAATGTAACATATACCGCGTATTATATTTGTCATACTTATTAAGTTTTTGTTAATAAATTTTTTGTAGTATATCATGGCAAATATAAGCAAAAGAGAATTCGACGTCCTTGATCTGTCTGGTCAAAAATATCTTGAATGGAAAGTAGATGCTTTAGCACATTTGAAAGCTAACGGCCTGGAAGACACTATTGAGGCAAATAAGCCATCATCTTCCCAAGATAAAGCGGAAGCTATCATTTTCCTCCGTCACCACCTCCATGAAAGTCTCAAATCTGAATATCTTTTGGTTGATGACCCAAAAGAATTATGGGACAATTTACAGGAGAGGTATGTCCACCAAAAAAAGGTACTTTTACCTAAGGCTCAGTATGACTGGATCAATTTAAGATTCCAGGATTTTAAATCAATCAGTGACTATAATTATGTCATGTTTCAAATAACATCTAAACTAAAGTTATGTGGACAAAAAGTCACTGATGCTGATATGTTGGAGAAAAACTTTTCTACTATGCATATTTCTAATATGCTGCTACAGCAACAATATAGAGAAAATGGTTTTAAAAAATACTCCGACTTAATATCGGTATTATTGGTAGCTGAGCAAAATAATGACCTTTTGATGAAAAATCATAATCTGAGACCCACTGGTTCTAGTCCTTCGGTTTATGGTCCATCTGGCCATAATTTAGCCACTGAATCAAATGCAACATACAGTGGCAGTAGAAGACATTTTAAATGTGGGCATTTTAATGGTCATAAAAACAAGTCACACCGAGAATACAAACAGGTCGAAAGATCAAATTACAAGGGCAAGGGCAAACAAAAAGCCCATCAAATAAATCGCCCTCCAAAACCCTCAAGAAAGTCGACTTGTTATAAATGTGGCATGACGGGGCACTGGGCTAATAAATGTCGCACGACTAAACATCTTGTGGAGTTATTTCAAGCTTCCATGAATCTGAACAAAGGCAAAAATGTGAAAGCTAATTATGGCAATGACACAACTCCACCTATGCCAAAATTTGACGTGTCCGACTTCTTCGTAGATGATGCTATAATGGACGATGCTTTTGACATTAATCAAAATGCTACAAAATAAAATATTAGACTCCTTATGTTGTAAAATACTAGTTTTATGTATTTTTTTCTTCCTTCCCCTTTTATTTCATTTTCAATAATTGTGTGTAATATATGTACTTTTATGTTAAATAATATGCATAATTTGTGATCAATCTTATGTTTATTTACATATATTGAAGATATGAATCACTCAAGTGATAAAGAGTTATGTCTGATAGACAGCGCTACAACGCACACCATTTTGAGAAATAAAATATATTTTTCTCAAATGACTTTAGTTGAAGCTAAAGTCAATACTATATCAGGTGTTGCAAAGCTCATTGAAGGCTCTGAGAAAGCATATGTGATGCCCCCTAACGGGACAAAAATAATTATAAATGACGCTCTATACTCCAGCAAATCGCAGAGAAATCTATTGAGTTTTAAAGATATGCGTCAAAATGGTTATCACATTGAAACCATGAATGAAAACCAAAAGGAATATCTTTGTCTTATTACAACTAAATCTGGCACTAAATATATTTGTGAAAAAATGCCAGCCTATTCCTCAGGACTATATTTCACATATATTAGTCCATTCGAAATAAATTTGGTTTCTAACGCAAAGTTAGATGATCAGAAAACATTCATGTTGTGGCCTGTTCACTTGGCAAAATGATCATCAGACCTTCTATGAACAAAATTGCAACTGAATCACCTGCATTCTTAGAAAGGATTCAAGGATATATTTGTGGGCCGATAGCCCCACCATGTGGACCATTTCGATATTTTATGGTGTTGATTGATGCTTCAACACGTTGGTCACATGTTAGTCTTTTATCGACTAGAAATTTAGCATTTGCTAAACTCCTTGCTCAAATCATATGATTAAGAGCCCATTTTCCGGATCATTCTATAAAGAGAATCCGACTTGATAATGCAGGAGAATTTACTTCCCAGTCATTTAACGACTATTGTATGTCGATTGGGATTGATGTGGAGCACTGTGTTGCTCATGTTCATACACAAAATGGTCTTGCTGAATCTTTGATTAAACGATTACAATTAATCGCTAGACCATTATTAATGAAGTGTAATTTACCTTCATCAGCTTGGGGACATGCTATTTTGCATGCAGGAAATTTAATTCGGCTTAGACCGACTGCATATCATGAATATTCTCCAATGCAATTAATAACTGGACAAGAGTCAAACTTAGCACACATAAAGATATTTGGTTGTGTTGTTTATGGTCCGATTGCTCCACCTCATCGTACAAAAATGGGTCCACAAAGAAGGTTGAGAATTTATGTTGGATTTGAATCCCCCTTAATAATAAAATATCTTGAACCGATGACTGGTGACTTATTCACCGCACGGTTCGCTGACTGTCATTTCAATGAGAAAGTATTCCCAACCTTAGGGGGAGAAACTAATGTATCGGACCCAAGTACGAAAGAAATAACATGGAATGCAATAGGATTAGCACACCTTGATTCTAGATCAAATATATGTGAGCAAGAGGTGCAAAAGATAATCCATTTACAAAATGTTGCAAATCAGTTGCCTGATGCATTCACAGATACAAAGAAAGTGACAAAGTCACATATTCCTGCTATGAATGCTCCTGCCAGAATTGAAATTCCAGCGGAGAATTCTGAAAAATCTTTCGCAAATGATTCTTCCATACACAAAAAGCGTGGCAGGCCACTTGGATCAAAAGACATAAAACCAAGAAAAACTAAAAGGCAGGAATTGATCTGTGATGCCAAAGATGTTCATCCTTCTGAACAAGAAAATGAACAATTTGAAAAAACTGGCATAGAAGATGATATTGACAAAACAAATATCTCAAATGATGATCCAACTTCATTAAATGAGGAAGATATTCCAGATAATGATAGAAACGTTGATAATTATGAAATTTCAATAAACTACGTTTCTACTGGAATGCAATGGAATCGAAAAGATATTGATATTAATGATATATTTGTCTATGTCGTTGCCACGAATGTTATGAATGAAAACAATGACAATGAGCCAACATCAATTGAAGAATGTCGGAAATGACATGATTGACCAAAATGGAATGAAGCTATTCAGGCTGAATTAAAATCACTTGAGAAACGTGATGTTTTTGGACCGATAGTCCCTACGCCAATAGGCGTAAAACCTGTGGGGTTTAAATGGGTATTTGTGCGTAAACGCAATGAAAAGAATGAAATTGTTAGATATAAAGCCCGACTTGTTGCCCAAGGTTTTTCCCAAATGTCGGGAATTGATTATGAAGAAACCTATTCTCCAGTAGCTGATGTAAATACATTAAGGTTTCTCATTGGCATGTCTATTTTTGAAAGGCCGCAAATGCGCCTAATGGATGTAGTGACCGCCTATTTATACGGTTCACTCGACACAGACATTTATATGAAAGTTCCTGGTGGATTTAAAATGCCTGAAGCTTATTGCTCAAAATCCCGAGACATGTTTTCCATTAAATTACAAAAGTCATTGTATGGACTAAAACAACCTGGACGAATGTGGTATAATCGTCTCAGTGAATACCTTCTCAAAGAAGGATATAAGAATGATCCAATTAGTCCATGTGTTTTCATTCGGCGATCAAATTTGGGATTCGTCATAATTGCAGTATATGTTGATGACTTAAACATTATTGGAACTCCCAATGAAATTGAAAATAATGCAAAATATCTTATGAAAGAATTTGAAATGAAAGATTTCGGGAGAACTAAATTTTGTCTCGAACTTCAAATTGAACATTTGAAGAATGGAATTTTCATCCAACAATTACACCAAGAAAGTGTTGAAGAGATTCTATATGGACAAAGCTCATCATTTGACTTCACCAATGGTCATTCGATCTCTCAACATACATGATGATCCATTCCGTCCTCGAGAAGACGATGAAGAAATACTCGGTCCCGATGTACCATATCTCAGTGCTATTGGAGCCTTAATGTATTTAACTAATAATACTAGACCAGATATTGCATTCTCTGTAAATTTATTAGCTAGGTACAACTCATGTCCAACAAGACGTCATTGGAACGGGATCAAGCACATATTCCGTTATCTTCGTGGTACAGTTGATCTCGGCCTATTCTACGACAAAGATGCAAAATCCACTTTAATCGGATATGCAGATGCTGGATACTTATCAGATCCTCAAAAGGCGAAATCACAAACCGGGTACGTATTTACTTATGGTAACACCGCAATCTCGTGGAGATCTATGAAGCAGACATTGACAGCTACATCATCAAATCATTCTGAGTTAATTGCACTATATGAAACCGGAAGAGAATGTGTGTGGCTGCGATCTATGATTCAACACATCCAAAATGAATGCGGTATGAAGCCTATTACTTGTCACCCGACTGTGATCTATGAAGACAACATTGCATGCATAGCTCAAATTAAAGAAGGATACATCAAAGGAGACAGAACGAAACACATATCACCAAATTTCTTCTCTACTCATGATCTGGAGAAAGAAGGGACGATCAACATTCAACAAATCAGATCCAATAAAAATACAGCCGATCTCTTCACCAAATCTTTACCCCTGAAGAAGTTCATTGAACTTGTACAGAAAATTGGCATGCGTTGCCTTCAAAATTTATGTTAATTTCAGGGGGAGTATTTGAATGCATTGCACTCTTTTTCCCTTCATCGGGTTTTTATCCCACTGGGTTTTTCCTGATAAGGTTTTTAACGAGACAGTACATCCAAATACAACGACATTATATGTCGTAATCCTTACCCCTTAATTTTAGTTTTTACACTAATTTTCACAAGAACAATATACCTACTCAAGGATGAACATTCAAAGGGGAGTGTTGTAAAATCTAGGAATTGACAAGTGTGATTGTTCATCCTTGTCATTAGGACACCAAGCTATTCATCATCCTTGTAATGATCCTTGTAACCAAGTTAGAACATGTGGTTCAATTTGTTATTGCCACCAAATCTGTAGACTCATCATTTAGGTGACTAATCATCAAGCTCAAACACTATAAATAGGAGCTTGATGAAGTCTTGTAAATTCATTCAGAAAATTAAGAAATTCAGAGAAATCTTGATAATAAGAAGAAGTGTAATTTAGAGATCTTATTATTCATATATCTATCTCTTTAATCTGTTCTTCATCTTCTTCATTTCACAACAAAAACAACAGTTTTCAAAACAAAGTCAAACGTTTGGTAAAAAAAAAGTGAAGGCGCACAAAAAAACGACGTGGGTAGAGTAGAATATCTCTATCGGCGTTCAAACGGCCAAGGCTAAACGCAACATGATTTTTCTTATTTTGGTTGTTTGGAATAAAAAGTGAAGTGAAAAAGTTAATTAACCAAACACTTCTATCAGATGTTTATTTGGTCAAAAGCCAAATAATGGTCAAATCAACCAAAAAATGGCTGATAGGCCATTAACCAAACACCCCTCAGTCATTTCAACCATTGCAGCCGTTACCAAACGAGCCCTATATGTCACAATTTCGCTTAAAACTTTATTATTGTTCATGGTTTGATACAAATAAACATTGTCATAATGTTTATTTCATAAAATTTTGTAAAATGCAGCAAAGTTAAAATAAAGAAACTAAATACTGTAATGTAATCAATTACGTCTTATAATTGATAACGTGTTCAGTACTCTCTAGAAAGTCTTTCTCTTAAGACTTAAATAGCTACCTAACCTCTACATTTGGACCATTTGGTGTGACCATTGACGAAGATTGCTTGAATATTTCATTATTTAATAAGTAAATCAAGTAAAAAACTCCTCTAAAAAAATCAAGTAAAAAAGTAAAAAAAGTTCCAAATGCGTATTACTGAGATAACTGTTCCTATTCATATCCGTACACCCAAAATTTGTATACATCTCCACATGAGCTGTATGTGCACACAAGTAATTAGAAAATGTACACATCATATGTACAGACAATTACGCATAAATGTATGTGTGCTAAATATGTATACATTGTGTACAAATAGAATTTTTCAAGTTGATAGTTAACATTAGAACGGTAGAAAAGTAGTTTTTTTATGTGTATTTGTTTGCATTAAGAATGAGAGTACACTTGAAAACGTATCTTTCCTAGTTGTCGGCTTAATTAGACATTTTTTTAATCCAAATGTACATTTACTTTCACACG